AGTTTCCTGATATTGAATTTGAGCACCCAGATTGTTTGATTCTTGTTTTTCCTAATGGGAGTAATCAATTCGATGTGAATTATAAGGAATTGAGTTCGGCGATAAATGAATTTTCGAATTTGGAGTGGAAAGGGAGGCCAAATTCGCTTAGCAAGGAACACATTTGTTGGGACATAATTTATAGAACTGCCGAGGCCGTTAAGAAGCCATTAACGATTCAAAAGGGAGAATTTCCGGTTGATTGATTTAAAAGCAGTGGAATTTGTAGTGAAAACTCTTACAAAGGTTTAACAATCAGGGAAGTTGTTAGGAAAAGGAGGAGTGCAATTGATATGGATGGAGTCACTGTAATGGAAAGACAAACATTTTATCAGATTTTGTTGCATTGCCTTCCATCAGGGAAGGGTGAGAAGCATAGAAGGCCTTGCCGTTTCGGGCTCTCTCTTGGGATGCCGAGGTTCATGCTGCTCTGTTTGTTCATAGAGTGATAGGTTTGCCCAAGGGATTGTACTTTTTGGTAAGAAATGAGGATCATTTAGAGGAGCTTAAGAAGGCTACCGACTCGGAGTTTAAGTGGAATAAACCAGAGGAATGCCTACCTTTATATGAACTTGCAACTGGTGACTGTCGAGAGCTTGCCAAACGCGTTTCTTGCCATCAGGTGTGTGCCATTTTGCTTATTGCTTTGTTCTTTGTGGTTTTATATTCAGTGCCTGGACAAATTGTTAGGAAAGTGCTTGATTTGGGAAATCAAAACAGTTATATTAACTATATGCTATTATCTCTAGTCCATCAATGCATCAAATTTAAAACATAAATACTTAGGGATGGCAAAAAAATCCGAACTCGACGGGGAAAACCGAAAATCGAATTTAACGGGTCGGGTTCGGGGATGATAAACGGGGACGGGGAAAATCCGTTTATGTTAAACGGGGACGGGGACGGGTTTGATAATCCCTGCCCCGATTACCCGATTATTCGACCCGATTATCCGGCCCGATAAATATTAAAAATAATTATTTTTTTATATATAATATTAATAACATATTTTAAATTAATCCTTAAATATTTTTTATTATTTTTTTCACCCTATACTGTCCCACTTTAAAACATCGTCCCCGCTTCAATTTCTAAAATTTACCTCAATTTTCGTTGTATTATAATATTCTTTTTTTCTTTTAATAATGAAAATATGCTTACACTTCTTGTTTGCAATCACGTGTGAACCTTTAATATCTTTTAATAGACAAACACTGTCTAGTTAAATGAGAAAAGTCTAGTTGGTTTGCTGGTATTGTGCTACTTCCAACGAACGTGTACTTTCTGCAGGGTCCTCGTCCAGTACACCATTACACACCTGAAGCCCACCACTAGCATTGGCAAGCTAGAAATTATGTCCAGCAGAATTTAAAATCAATGCAACTTGCATATTGTCTTCGTCTCTTCGACAACAACCCTCATTTTCACCTCGCATTCCAATAACCTCATACAAGCTGTCTCCATTACACAAGCTTTAACGTTCCTTTGACAAAGCGAAGCATGTGAATTAGCCATATTAAAATCAGCCTCGGGACCTATACCAACATCACGTTCTTCCTTAGCAAATGGAACAGCAGCTGCTCTCTAGTATTAAATTCGAAAATTCTAAAAAATTTCGGTTAATTCAAAAATTAATCGAATTAACCGAAATTTATTCGGTTCGGTTAATATTTTCGAAAAAAAATTTGGTTCTATTAACGGTTAAAAAAATCGTTAATTCGGTTAATGGTAGTTCGGTCGGTTCGGCCACCAAATTAGCCGAATGAACAACCCTACCGATACCCGTTTAAATAAACGTTTATGCTAAACGGGGAAACCCGTTTTTCCGCGGTTTTCCCCGATTACCCGATGGGGATCCCCGTTTAAATCCCCGCGGTTTTTTAAACGGGGACGGGTACCGGTTTTTTAAACGGGGACGGAGAGACTAATACCCGGCCCGAACCTGGCCCGTTGCCATCCCTAATTCTGGTCATTAAATATGAATTCTCGAGGTGGAGAAAAAGCTTTTTGCAAAATGCTCAAGAGTGCTATGTTTTGTATGACAAATTTTCCTGGAGAAGGCCATTTAAACGCTGAGTCCAAACCTGCAAAGCATAGTTTCTATTGTAACGGAAATACTGAACTTACACACAGGACATTGCTAGTGATGGCTGCTTCAGTCTTGGAATGGTGGCTCACTTTGAACCTACCTTAAGTGAGAAGGGTGCTTGGATGTATCCTAGATTGTTTTGGGAAACTGGAGTTCTTGGCCAGGTGCTCTACCTTGAAGCACATGCTGTTGGCATATCTGCAACTGGAATTGGTTGTTTCTTTGATGATCCTGGTATGTCTTTCCATCTTCATCTTTATTCTAAACTAGTATTCCTAATCAATGGTGATTATACATGGTATCCTAGTCTTCTTATGAAGTTCTACATTAAAGATACGTTAGCTGTGTCGTCCAAACTATACTGCTTTCTTGGCAGTAGTTGCATAAGGCTGGTCTCATCTCTGGTTACAGTGTTTAAGCCAGAGTCAATGAAATTTATACATGAATTTGAGATATTTGCAATGGAATGGCGAACATACTCCTTCCTTTTTCATGAATAACACAAAGCCTGCCCTTGCTCCATCCCCTTATATCTATAAAGTTGGACCCATCATTGCCTAAAGATCAAACATGAATGATGTCTGTTTTTTCCCTCTTCATTTTGTCGTACTTTGCAGTGCATCAACTTCTTGGGCTTAAAGGATCAATATTTCAGAGTCTATATCATTTCACTGTTGGAGGCCCAGTGTTGGACAAGCGGATTATGAGCCTGCCAGCTTATCCGGGACCTAGCATCGATGCATGATACTAGGATCATGTTTCGTTCAAGATACAGGAAGCTGTTGATCATGGATTATCATCATTCGTGCATACACCATGAAAGGCCTATGAAACCGTTTATATTTCTTGCAATCTCTTGTTTGTTTCTAAATTGGTAGGTTTATATATAAGGCTTTTCAGAATTGTACTCCAATATACTGTAAAATTTCTTTTTTCCCCCCTCTAATCAATGTAAATTAAAGTTGATGCATTTAGGTCATAACTTTGTATAGGGCAAATGATCTCATATCTTCATTTGAAACTGTTTTGTTAGCAGTTCTCAAATTTAATATTCAACATTAGAAGTTTTTCAATGGAGACCTGTGTTTTCGTCTTATTATTTTGTGGAACACAACCAACTCCAAGACTGTTTAAGCTGGTGTCATTGACTACAGTTTAAGCATGTATATTTCTGTCAATATGAGCAAGAAGAGCGGCAATGGGGATTTAGTTTGAATCTGACTGCGACAATTTGACTTGCTGTTATAATTTTCAGTAGTAAATGCCCCATGAATTATACTATTTATATTGTCCTTAAAATATTTTTCAGGACATGTTCCTCTTATCTATAAATCATTATCGTTTGTCTTAAACTATTAACACGTTCAAAAAAATATTCAGACCAATCAGATTATATCACGTCATAATTTAATTTTTATTTTCTTATATAAATAAATAAAAATTAATTAATAAAAATAAAACATATAAACTACCGAAATTATCCCTCTTCATCTCCACCATTAACACCACCCTCCTTTCCCTACCCTAACACCTCTGTAAATTAACGATAGTCAGACTCATCAAAAACTTGAATAAAAATTTTCGACCTTGGCACTCCAATATGCACATTGCAGCAATGGGGTGTTGGTAAACCTGCAATATATATATAGATTCAAACCATAAACAAAACAGTGGGTTCTTTTCAAACCTTAAAAAAATGGTAATTTTCTTGTTATTTACCTCTTTTTCTTTACACATAGGGATCTGAACGAGAACCATCGGAAAGAATCCATTTTCAAGAGCTGCAACAGCGTCTTCTTTAGAAATTGGCTTGATATTTTTGAGACGGATCCAAAGACAACATAAACAGAGGATTAACCTATCTGAACTTTGGGTTAAGAAAAGAACAATGCAGACAGTTGCCAGGAGTTGAAGCGGTGGAGCAATCAACCCGACCAGAATCAAAACCCAATGAGAATATAACAATTCGAAGATATCTTTAACAGCGAATGGTGCCGTGAAAATATTCTTTAATTGAAGCTCCGAAGCAACGAAATGATGCTAGCCGTTATAATACGCGGTGATCTCGAAACCGAGTAACAATAAAGATAACCAAAGGAACAGTTTGGTGCACGTATGGAACCCGGTTCTAACGGTTTTGTTTTCGCAAGAGGAACTGTTCTCGGTGTCGGTTCGACCGGAGTTGATTCGGCGGCGGATGGCTGGACCGAGAAGCTAGCAAGTTCGGGGAAGAAGCTAGCAATGCAAAAGAAAGAAACCCATATGGTGGAAACTCCATTGCCAGGTATTTGTGTGTTCTGCTCAAACAATTGCAACGAGAGAGGGGCAATCTCGGCAGTTTACCTATTTTATTTTATTATTTGATTTTTATTTATTTAGATAAAAAAAATAAATATTAAGAGGTGGCGTGACATGTTCTGATTGGTTCGTGAATTTTATTTTTAACGGTATTAACGGTTTGGAGCAAACGGAGTGACGACTTGTAGTTGAGGAGGCAAATTGTCCCATAAAATATTTTATGAAGCAATTCGGTAAAAATGAAATAATTCAGGGCAATAGGGTATTTAAGTTTTTTCAGTATAAAACTAAGAATTACCATACGGATAATTTGGTATTCCTAGTCATATATATAGGGAGAGAAAGGAATAGATCAAGAGGAGGCCGACGAGGCAGTTACCTTGAAAATTATAGTTTATCATAGAATTTAAATATTATTTTTATTGATTATTTATTTTTGTCCCTTAAATATTATAAATTTGTTTTCTAAATTTTAGAAATGGACATTTCCTCCTACATAAAATTATGCATACGGTATAAAAACACTTTTTGCATGAAACTGACAAAAGGAGCTGTCAAAAGTTAAAAGCTATTCTTTTAGATATTGGGAAGAAAAAATATACACGAGAGGGCAACTTTAGCCAATAGCTGTGCTTACCCCATCCAACTATACGGAAATACATGCTTTGCTAGTAACCCAACAAATTCCTTCCTCCAACTTTGAACAACTTCATCAAGCACTGCAAAAACTCTCACCATCCAAGTTCTATGTAGCATCATAATCTCAGTGTGTGTTGTTCTGGCTATGTACAAGTAGGTTTACACGGGTTCGGACCGAGCTTCTCCCATTTTTCTGAAAATCTTGTCCATTATGATGCAACTGTTATAAGATACTCACTTGTCATGACGTGCTTTTCGTACAGCCTGCTGGATTTGCCTCTCGTGTTCTTTCAGCATATCCTCGATGTTTCCTCCAGCAGGCACCATTGGTCCTGAGTATTGGATCTTGTTCTTCCTTGGTGCATAAGCCTGCCAAAGATGACAATTTATATAATCTGATAATCTGCAATCTCATGGTCTCAGCTATTGTGAAAATATGTAGAATGATTGTAGAAAACAACAATGATGACATGACGACGACAATAATAGTTAGAAATAAACAGGAAACAGTTGGCTATTTACCGATGCAGAACCTTTGTTGGATGCTCTGACACCTTGCTTAAGGGAACTGCTGGCTGCCTGAGACATGTGTGTTGTTAACTCGCAGCTGTATCCTGTAGAATCTGCATCACAATTTGACTGTCCATCAGCAATGGATTCTGGTGTAGACACTGCCTTAAAACCTCTTGGACCTCTTCTAACAGATGCAGGTCCTCTCCCCTTTATAGTCTCTGCTCTTTTCCTAAAGTTACATGAAAAATCACAACAGTAATGGAACATCAACATATATAAAAGATAATACGAATGAAACATGAACACTGAATCTAGTTTTTATCTGAAAAATGTACCTTCTTGCTTCATCGCCACGACGTCTGATGTCTAGTTCTTTGCTGGGAGCATACTTTGGCAAGCTTGATGGATCACAAGGTAAAGGCTCTGTTTTAAAGAACTGAGAAGGAGAAACAAAGTAAATGTAATCGAATGCGTATTTGAACAAGTGGGGAACAATAGTAAACAATCTTGGTAAGTTTTATACATGTAGATGGGTGTACAAATACCTGAGATTTAAGTGCTGAGGCAGCGGTCCCTCGATTATTGGGTTCAAACGAAAGGAGCTTTTCGACAAGAGACAGTGCAGACGGAGGCATGTTTTCGAAAGTTGAGGCTATCCGGCGATTGTAAGGCTTTTGAGGTTTGAAACTTGTTGCATGTGGAAGTTTTGTTTTCTTCCAGAACTCCTCTGAGGGTGAACCACACAGCTTAAATATCTTATGCATTTGTTCAACCTCCGTTCTCCCAGGCATAATAGGCTTCCCAGCAAATAACTCAGCAAGTATGCAACCGGCACTCCACAAATCTACACCGACTCCGTATTTGGTGGCACCGAGCAAAAGCTCGGGTGCCCTGTACCAAAGAGTTACAACGCGACTCGTTAGCGGATGCTTCGGATCAGCCTGAAAGCATCTAGCCAAACCGAAATCCGCAATCTTAAGAACTCCACTGTCGCCGATCAGAAGATTCGAGCCCTTGATGTCTCTGTGCAGGACACCACGGCTATGGCAGTGTTTGAGGCCACTAAACAGTTGTTGCATGTAACATTTAATCTACAGAAACAATCACATTCTTATAAGAACCAACAGAAGATAAAAGCAAATAAAACATTGAATGTATTTCACCTGTGGTTCATTGAACTTGATGCCAGGACTTGCTGCAAGCCCTGCAAGGTCATGTTCCATGTACTCGAAAACAAGAAACAAGTTGCGCGGCGTCTGCGAAGCGACGATCCCTTCGAGCTTCATAACATTCGGATGATCAAGCTTCCGTAAAATAACGATTTCCCTAGCCATGAAACGAATACTCTCCTGATCCATATTAACAAACTTAACCTTCTTCATGGCAACTATTTTGCCGGTTTCTATTTCACGGGCCTTATATACTCTACTGTAAGTTCCTTCACCAATCTGCATATATAAAAATCATGTTAAAAGCCTCGATCATGTACAGGTATGGACCGAGGGAGCTGAAGATGGCGGTCACCCCGTTAAATTACCTTTTCTAACTTCTCGAAAGATTCAACACGACGAGGCTTCCATCCTTTAACAGCGTCTCCTGCAACTGAAGATAGCCATGATGGCCATTCGGCTGCATCTTGTTGATCACAATCACTGACCTTTTCGGACCCATCGTCTTCTTGAGAGGGTAAAGGAGCAACCACTTGCATTGATGATGCCTTGCCTTTGCATTTCTTCTTCCGGTTTTTGTCCTTATTGGGGTCATCTTTGGCTCCCTTTGAGCAAAGGCATCCCATTATGTTCTTTTTCCTAAAGGATACCTTGTCCTTGAATAGATAGCTGAATACATGCATCTCGCTAATATGTTTAAAAGACAACCGTGTTTTAACCATGTATTAAACAGAAAAGGAAACCCTAAATTTAACACTCTTTCCTGAGAATCAATTCATATATTTATATTATTATTATATTTTCAGTTTTTCAATCAAGATCTGAATAACAGCAGAATGTATAATACAGTATTTTTTTTTTACAAATAGCTAATGTCAGAAGAGAAATGAGAAAATGGGTGGTAGAACAAAACTACTAGGAAATCCAAAAGCCCGGGGAAATGAATGAAAACCCAGATAAAGATCACACAAATATTGAAGTTACTTGTTTCCAGAATAACAAAAACCTATGTTTTTTTGTTTATCCTGGAACATAAAAGTAAAAGATGAAAGGAAAGAGACGACAACACTGCAGCAAATGAAAATGATAATAATAAAATAATAAAAGAAGAACAAAATGACAGTTGGTGAGAAACTAATTGCAGGCGATATTCTGATATTAGCTCCTAAAACTGCGACAAACCAAAGATTCGGTTTTTTGTTTCCAACTTCTCATTGTCTGTTTCAATTATTTTAACTTGTTAAGATTTCTGTTTACATTATATAACCACTTTACCCTATGAATAAGATTCATATATTATTTAAAAATTAAAATTTTGCACAACTGGTTATTATAACAAATAATTATAGGTATTGTGGTACTAAAATTTTATATGAATTCATTAGTTTTATGAAATAATTTTTATGTTATTTTATTTAATATTATTTATGAATTAAATAATCTAAGCTCCAAAATCATGTGCCATCACATATATTATTATTATTATTATTATTTCCGGTCGTTGCTAGAGTTGGATTAGATACTGTTTGACTTTCTAACCAGCCAACTTGTTTAGCACGTGTAAATTTATGTAGATTTTGACGCCCTCCCTCTTTGGGTACTCCTAATATTCTTTTAAGCTAGGGTAAATCTTATTTTAAATTACTTCTTTTATTAAAAGCTACATTAATATATAGATATATACTATAATTATTAATAATTAATTTGATTTAATATTATAAAAAATTCTAAAATCTTAACTTGATTTATGTTATTTATAATAACAACATGTTAACGAACCATCAAACATAGAAATGAATTTTAAAATAGGCATTGAGTCGGCCGAAATACCAAGTCCATTAAATATTTGGAAGTCAACTCGTGAATTGGATTTGAATTCCACAGGTTTCATACTGTTTAGACACTAAACCAATTAAAATTAGGATAAATTATATCGATGGTCATCAAATTATTATTTGAAAATAATAAAATTATAATTAAGAGATTAAATAAGAAATTATTTATTAATTTAGTATGTTACAGTAAAAACAACTATGGACACGATGAATGCATGGTGGGTTTGTAATGTAAGTCTCACAAACTGAAAACAATTAGAAGAAAACCTCTAATCTAAGAAAAACAGTTGCTTTCTCAGTAACAATTTATTAAACAATCTTCACATTATGGCTGTTACTTTGTGATTTTGATTGTCATTCATCACAATAGTAATAATGAAAATTGCAGCGCAAAACCCTAATCATAGTTTCTATATACAAAATGATCTGCATGCAAGATAATACCAGATAGATTCATACATGATTACGATGTCAAGACTCGAGATAATCATCAACAGATATGTTCAAAGACTCAGTCTCCACGCCCATAAATACACTCCCACTGTTGTCATTACCGACGGGCCGGCACTCCACCATCAGGATGGCGTCGACCGCCATGCCGGCATCCGTTGCCGCTCTCTGGATAGACTTGGGGGACATGTCGGCATTGACATTCGGAGGTAGCATGGTGGGGAAGTTGAGAGAGTTTAAGGAAGACGGTCGACGCAGGCAATAGAACGCAATGTCGTGGGCGATCGCAGCGCCTTCCGGCGTCGAATAAGACCCCAACCAAAGCCGTTCTTGGCTGCCCGGGACTCGGATTTCCGACACCCATTTCCCCCATCTCCGACGACGGATTCCTTTGTATTTCCTTTCGCCGTTGCTTCCGTTCCCGGAGCTCTCTTCTACTCTAAAACCACTCATGTCTTCAAGGATTGAAGTGGAAAACAGGCAATGAAATGAGATACAAGAAAGGAAAGGGGATGGAAAGAACAGCTTATATAGGTTGAGAAAATGAAAAAAAGTCAGAAGGCAATTTTTTTTTAAATTAATGTCTAGTCTTATATAAAATAAAATAAAAAATATTATATAAAATATGTAATTGGACCGATCCATGAAAATTAAAGGGAGGGGTCAAATATTGAAGAAGGTCAAAGTGGACGTGCCTTCTGAAATATAATTACAAAATCCTTTTGAAATCCTTCGAGTTCATATTTCCTTTTTATTGGATTTTTTTTTAAAAAAAAGTAAACCTATAAAAACTACTATAATACATAAAGTTTATTGATTTTGTATAAAATATTAATAAATGTAGAATATATTAGAAATATATTACACTTTTAAAGAAAACTCAAATTTTAATTTTAAAAATTATATTATTAAAAATAAATATATAAATCTTCGTAAGATAAATAAATATATTACAAAAAATTATGTATCTGTTTTAAATTATTTTATAATGTATAATGTAATTTATATTAGAATTTATTTTAAAAATATTATCCGAAGTCGGTGGCTGCCTCATGAAGTGGAAAACAGATTACCGTGGGAGTTGGGTTGAGAGGGTCAAGTGGTTGTTTAAAGTCATGGGATAAAAAAGTGTCCAAGATTTTCATGGTATTTTAATTACAATCCACAGAGAAAAGACTCAATTTAGAACCAAAACTTGCATAATGCATGACGTCACCAATTTCCACACTACCAATTTTGAATCATATGCGGCTGCAACCGTATCTCAAGCGGAGATTCACCATTCAACTTTGTAACTTTAAATATTGACTCCAACCAATTAATTTATTAGATGATTTAGTTAGTTGATTCAGTCCTTCGAATTGATAAGTTGTCAACGTAACAAACATAAACTATCCAATCACCTTTTGATTAAATATTAGTTGTGGCATCAAAGGAAATTGTTACATTTTTTAACATCATTTCTAGAAACTGTCAACCTTTAACCGGTTAAATATTTTGAATAAAATTTTCTTTTATCAATTTTTTTTTAAAATTATATATTTTTAGATATAAGAGTATCATAGCTTTCGAATGGCTTGCGGTGCATAGACAAAACTTCTATGACTTCAAATGATTTATCAAAGTGAAATTCAAGATTTGATTATCAAATTTATTTAATATGTTGGCCTACGAGTAAGATGTAATTAACTTGCATCTCACATCATCAGTTATGGTCATTGTAAATGTCTCTCAACCACAACTTAAAACTAGACATCTGCACTTACTTCTTCTTCTTCTTCACATCTATCTTCCACCTTATGTCTTAATCTCTTACAAAGTAACACCACTGGACGACAATTACCTTATCGAATACAACTTTCTATTTATATTTGTAACCTATAGTATGTATCTCGAAATACGTATTAAAGATATCACATCAACTTAACAGACATTTGCTAACATAAATACTTAAAAAAATCATTTTAAAACATCCCTTTTCCAATTTAAAATATGTATTATTTAGCATGCATTTTCATAAAATAATAATAATTTGCATTCCAAAACAATGATGATTTTATGCAGCAATTGGACAATTCCGTGTTGTTTCATAGCTATATACAACTGTCTAAATACTGCTTAATTTAAAACCATTTAAAACTTAACATTTATAATATTCATTTAAAAATACAATTATAACTAAAATTAGCCAAAATTAAAATAATTCTAAATTACTATTACAAACTTTTTAAAATAAATTCGATAAAGTAACCCAACAAACCATTTAAGACTAAACATTTATAATATTCATTTAAGAATACGATTATAACTAAAATTAACCAAAATTAAAATAATCCTAAATTACTATTACAAACATTTTTAAATAAATTCGATAAAGTAATCCAACAATATAATGTACATGTCACTAGTAAGTCAAAGATAGAATATCTTATTGTTACTGTCGGTAGGTTTGATTTCCAAAAGATGCTCGTAAAACTCCTCACTTCACGTCCTTTTTATTTATTCGAACCTACGCTTGAAAATCATCACGCGCTAAGTAAAACTTAGTGAGGCAACATCATAACTAAAGTGATATAAAACATAAATTTCGTAAAGTATTATAACATAAAAATGTAATGTAAATAAAAACATTACAACTTTCAAACCAAGCTATTCCAATCGATTTTCCCTTGAAAACCTGAAAATATCATCTCATGATTTTATCAAAAATCATGTAAATCCACATCAAATATCTTAAACAATTCACAATCCTTTCATTCGTACATATTTCAGAACTTTCATTTCATTTTCATACTCTTTTCTTTCATAATCCTATCATAACTTTCATATTTATTTGTATAGCCCAATGTATATGTAAGAGAATACAATGTACGTGAGTAGAACATAAGGTGCGCACTGGGCACATCACAGTGTCAATCATAACTGAAACATATAATGCACTCCAAGTGCAATCAAAACATGAGCACCAACGGTGCATATTATAATGTATATGAATGTACCATAACTGAATTAGAAAGTACTCAACTTAATGGCATGCCAAATATACCTACGAGTTTCAATGCAACATACAATGAGCTTATATATCACAATAGAATAATTTATTAATCAACGTATGATAATCGTAAACGTTTACAATTCATCATAAATATCGTACTTGGACAGTTCATACACTAAATCATTCATAAAACTTGATGAAAAATATTATGGAAATATTCCATAATTAAATTTATAAATCATACTTGAAAATAAAATGAGGTTGACTTATTGCAAGTCATCCTCGATCATAATAATTAAATAAATAAATTGCACTCACTTTGAAACATTATTTATAAGTCAAAATATAAGCCTAACTGAGCTTTAGATTTAATCTTTTGCTTTTACATGCTTCAACTACATGATATATCGAAATTTCATACTCTGGCAGTCTGCACTAACTTCAAAAAAATATTATTTTGTATTAATATACATACTTAAAAATTATTTCGTTTACCACTGAAAACTAGACTCAAATATGAATTTAACCATATAAGACACTCCTTCTAGTTCAATTTTTACAATTTAAAGTAAATTTTCAAATTTGACTTACAGAAGTTGGTTTGAGCAGAATCTGCTGCCCTGTTTTCTGACATTTTCTCGATTACAAATTCATATCTTTTTATATACTTCTCAAAATCATAGCCGTTTGTTTTTAACAAAACTAGACTGACATACAAATCCAATAGTATAGAGATCGTCCTCTAATCACTTTTGTATAATTTATAGTGATTTTTTAAACTTACTATTCAAATCATAATTTCTAGGCAGCTTTCCTTAATTAGCATCCTTAGCTTATTCCATAATTCTTTTAGCTTATCAAATGAACATGTATGCATGAATCACAATTCACATAATCTTTAGGAGTTACTTCTGACCATAGTAACTTCGTCACTGGCTCATCGTAAGCTAATGTTCGTTCGATAACATAAATATACATTAAATATGCACTCATCTTTGCCTCACTATCGAAACTTCTCCATGATATCTTCTCCATCTCTCACTTTTTCCTACCCTTTCGAGTTACTTGGATCACTAAATTTATTTTGGTCTGACGGCATCACATAATAACATAAAATATTCGAACTGTATGTTAGTATCATACTAACATAATCTAAACTTAGTAATATAAAAGTCTATAAAAAATATAATCGATGCTTAATCGGTATAAAACTAAATCATACTTCCGTCATAATTCAAACTTCTCAAAATACACATTCAATTCACAAATAATTATTCTCATAGTCAACCCTTCAACTTTTATCAATTTCTCAATCAAACCACTAATTATGAATTCTTTTTAGAATTCACACTAACTTTTTCCATTAAATTCATAATGATCCTTGACCATTATGATCATTGCACATTAATTACTAAAATTTCCAGCATCTTAATAAAACACTTAAATCCATACTTTAACATTAAAAAACTTACAATTTTGTCCTAAACTTTCTTAGACTTTTCGAATTCAACCACCCATCATTATAAACTTGAAATTTGATTCCAACTCAATTTTTAAACCCAAAAATCAGCATTCTAATGAAATTTCCAGCATTGCAAATTTCATGTAGATTAATTATCTTTTACACAAATTAGTCCAAAAAATCAATCACGTGAGCTTAAAAATTAAAACAAAAATTCTTACCTTATAGCTATGGAACCCACGGCCAAGCGATCTTGAAGATGAGAAATTCTTGATTTTTCTACACTTAATAATATAAATGAATTTAAAATTCATTTAAATCTAGTTTACAATTTTTCCATTAATGAATTATGATAATTACTATATGTCATTGTAATATCTTCCATTAAAATATTCCTTAGTCAAAGATGAACCAATTTGACTTTGACTTTCTATTTTGTCCATTCAATTTTTAAAAATTTCATTTTAGTTACTAAATTTCCATTGTTCGGCCACATCTGAAAAATTGCACTGATCTGTGCTAAATTTCTTGGTTCTAAAATATGAAAATAATATTCCCAAACCGATATAACATCCTTCAATTTTTTCGTAAAATTATGGTTCGAACCGATTATCTGATTTCGATATTGAAACTTATCGCTTTATAGCTTTTAACACAAATCTCGTATCGAAAATCTTATTACCACGAAAATCCTTGTTTTAGTCCAAATTATTCATTTATATACTAAAATATATTAATTTTCTAAATTTACATTTTTAGTCCCTAAACTTTTACAAAATTTATATTTTAGCCATCAAACATTCAAAATTTAAATTTTAGTCACTAAACCAAAATTTGAGGTATTACAATATTAGAAAGAAAAATTACTAACTATCAACAAGACAAACTTATTCTAATAAATATAAATAAATTTAAAAAGCCCAAGTATATTATAAATACAATTACAATTATGATGTAACGTTTGAATAGTTACAATTAGAATAAATTATTAGTTTAAACCATGATTTTTCTCTTACCTTAAATATCTGTCTATCGATTCAAATAAATTTAATTGATTGCTATCCGATCAAGCGAAAATGATTCAATGATATAATCTTACTCCGAAGGAATGGAACCGTAAACTGAATTATAAAGCAATGATGTAATTAATAAGCAATTCTTTTTTTTTCATTTCAAAACTTTGCTGTGAATCAAAATGATTTCATATGCCGGCACTGTCATACCCTCACGGCTATATGATCCAATACCCATACTACAAATGTCTCTCCAGGATACAAAATTGGGCAGCATGGACTTGGGGTTTGCCTTCTTTGACAATTTCTAATATATCTCATAATTTATATAGCAATCATTACTTGTGTTCATAATAGTTGGCCACTATCATATCATTTAATGAGACCAAAAATGCATCTGTCCCTTGCTAGTTACTATCTTCATTAGCAAGAAGCGTCGATGTTTCGTTTGGAAACAATTCCCAGCAGCAGCGGTTTTCCGAGATTTTGAGCAACATATATGCAGCACTTGCCTCGATGGTTCATGAAGAATTAGACCATTTCATCTGCACGAAGCTTCGTTTTCTCCATGGACCCATATGGAGTTTCTGCTCCTCCATCGACCTCTTGGCGCTATCGCACATCACTCCCACGATGGGGTTGATGTACTCGGATTTCCCCACGTAACACTCCGGTAATTTGTCGACCAGTTTCATGTACTCGTCGCATGCTTTTGCGATCTCGAATTGGTCCCTGAACTCCAATTCGATCACAAATGGGATTTGCTTCTTCTGCCCCTGTGTGCTTGCGATCACCTTGATGTATTCATGCGTCCCTGCAAGTAATACAGGAACCAAATAATAACCCCGGTTTTATCTTTATGATTATACATTATAAATTCACCTCTTCTAACATAAAATCGTGCAAATTAGGAAATTAAGGACCTGCAAGATGATTCTTGGTGTGTTTCCACTTAGAGACACATAGAGTGGCATTAAGTCCACTGCGACAAAGCAGATGTATAACTCTCTCGCGCAAGCAGTTGATGCAACCGGCTTCACTCCTCAGGCTTTGCTTTTGCGTTTGCTTCTGGTTTTTGCAGCTGCAAAACACCGTCTCTCTCGCTTCCTCTATAATTCCATTGATTTCTTGCCGTAATTTAGCACCCACCAATGCATAACGCTCAAGGATTTCCTGCACAATTAATAAATAACCCCAACTCATTACATTCCAAATCCACATCAATTTCAAGATTAATTTCCCTTTAAGAATTAATATATACCTGAAGAAGGGCCTCCTGGGATTCCCAATAAAGGTCGTGTTGGAGAGCATCGATGGATTCGTTGTCGTCTGATCCATAATCGTCGGTTGCATCGGAATCTGCGTAGCCGTTGTTCAAAAACTCTGAAATTTTCTCTTCGAGGCTGTTATAACGGTCAAGCCCCAGCTGTTGATGATCATAATGATGGCCGTAAAACGTTTGATCAAGAGCCTTCTCTTCTATAAGCCTGCCCATTTCTCCTTTTCTTACCAATAACACGAATGAAAAAGAAAAGGAGAGAAGAAAAGGCTCTTGCACAAAACATCCAACACGAGGAGAGCTATGAGGTATAGATATATATATATATACACCAGTGGGAGAATGTGGACCTTTCATTACGCTACATTCTTTTTTATTTTTTGGATGAAGTATATAAAAGGTCGTTGAACTATGGTCAATTTAGCTATTAAACCTTTAAAAATTACAAAAATGATTATTAAATTTACCGATCTATTACAAAATAATCATTAAATTTTATTGAATTTTTATAAAATAATCATTATATTGATCTAAATTTTACACCTATTATAATGTCGTAGTGATTACTAATAACATATCGATAAATTCAATTATTGTTTTTGTAATTTTGAAATTTCAATGACCAAAATGATCAATTGAGCATAGTTTAGTGATCTATAGTGTACTTTGCCCTTTTTTGATATTAACTTGATAATGAATTTATAAAATAGGATTAGAATTAAAAATTATTTTTAAAATTAAGTTAAAATAATATATTAACTTTTCTAAGAAAAAGATAGTTGAATAATTCTTAACTAATACCTATAAATACCCATTAACTAAGTCCTTTAATTTTATTTGCTTTCACACAATTTTCTTAAAAAATCTAAAATTACTTTTATAAATTTTTCATTCTAAATTTTATGATTATATATATATATATATATATATATATATATTTCTTCATTATCAAATAAATATAAACAGATAGATTATCAAAATATATTTAAATATATATTATAAAAATTTAGACACAACTCACACGTAATAAGATTTATACCAAAGTAAATTTATCCTAAAACTGATATATTCGCATGATAGAACTTGAATCTAGTGGCGAAGCCACGCCCTAATTTAAAAAAAAAAAACAAATATTCTTTTATAAATTTTATATAAAATAATAAAAATAAATTTATCATTCTTTAAAAATATATTAAAGTTATTTTCAAAATTCTAACACAGTAATCTAAATAGTTTTCGTATTGGCACCAATAATATGTCACTTAATATTTTGAGAGTTCGTGTACCTTATTAAAATATATTAATTTGTTGAAGTACAAGGTCATTCATAATATTATCAAATATATAAATGAATTCCATATTATAGTGGTGGGACAAACGGTTTTTTTAATCTTAAGATAAGGGAAAATTCTACGACTCATCGCATATCGCAATATATTATTAAAGCGACGTGCTGAAACGTATCACTAATTAAATTGTTCTTATTAAGTAAATATTAAAATAGATAAATTGTAGTTTTGTATTTAAATTATCATCTTTATTTAATTTTAGTATTTAAGCTTTAATTTTTTAAAAATCACTTACGGTAATACTTATGTGGCATGACATGCATTTTTTATTTTTTAATTACTATATCACTTTTTTTTAGTATTTTTTAATTAATTTTATTCAACCAATTAGGTCGTGATGTGTTACCACCTATGGGATAAAAGATAGATATCATTCTTGCTGTTAGTATGAATTATTGATCTTGAGTATCTTACATGATAAACAAATCACTCAACCATTGAGCAAAACTAGTCATTTGGGTAAATTTCACCACATTTTAAATTTAACTTATATAATAATATTGTAACCCCCCAGACCGATGGGGGTAGCCCGATCCGATCCGAGAAGTCACATTAGGGCCACCGGAGCGACCCATTGTAAAAATAGCGGAAAATTTAAATCTTTTTATCAGAACATGTAAACTTATAAAATCATTTGTCACTATTTAAAAATAAAACATATTTCCAGACTCGTATATAAATCAAAATACAATTACATGCCCCCTAATCACATGGACCATACTCTGCAACAACGCCGGAAGAACTCCCTTACTGAAGTCGATAGATGCACTGGTACAATTCTTTTAACCTGAAAATGTGAGTAATAGAGTGAGCTTCGAAAAGCTCAGTAATACAGAACTACCAGATGATGCTGAAAAACGTGCAGATACAGATAAACATATTTTCCTTATTGGTTCAGATATTTACAGATCTTTATATTGAGCTGAGGTCCAATGATATCGCATGTAGTAACAAATAGTATTCATTTCAGATGGAAATATTTCGGATGTCTAGGTTCAGGAGATCAGAACAGGTTTTCTAGTGTGTTCCCAAAAATCATGTAACTTTTCAGATCTTTTAAAAAAAACATATATATATATATATATATATATATATACCCCCATCCAACAAGTCCAAGTTGTGTAGGTTCCCCAGAACCATACACCCACCATCAAGTCCAGTAGGCCCTGAGCACACAGCCGAGGAACCGGTAAATAAGGCCCTGAGCACACAGCTGAGGAGCCTCCAGGTATACTTCCTCCAACATTATCCCCCAAGTAAAATATGTCCGTCCATAAACGGATATATCAAAAATCAAAACATAAATCAGGTCAAGTATCATATCAGAAATCAGGTCAAGTAACAGATCATAATCCAAGTCAAGTATCAGATCAGAATCCATGTCAGATATCAGATCAGAATCCATGTCAAGTATCAGATCAGAAATCAAATCAAAAATCAGGTAAAATATTCATGTGAGTAGGGAACACACCAGAATTTACAGATAGTATTCAAAGATATTGGATAATCTTAACAAGTAGGGGAACACAGATCTTTAGTATACCGATAGAATATCAGAATTCAGAATCACTATTGAAAGAGTTCAATAACTGACAGAATCATCAGTTATTCAGAATGTGACTTGAGCTGATAAGGAAGAAATGAAGGTTCAGGACATTTATATTATATGTCGATTGATCGAATTATCGGACAACTCTTAGATGAATAGTTTCCAGAACTAATGCCTGTCGATTGGTCAATTCATTGTTCTTACAGGGTATTTACTCTTTAATACCACAATTCTTGTCCATAGACCATTTTCAGAATCATCGTTGAATAGATCTTCCAATGTCTTTATTTTATTTCCACACTTCCACAATATCATGAAATGCTGACGTACTTGATTAATTTGTTCAAACTCATTGTAATTGTACACTACGTAAACTCATCAGAGTTTCCAGACTTATCCAAGTCACTTACTAAATCCTCAGTCATTGAAGTTACCTATTTCATTTAGCAGTCATCTTTATTCCAGTTACTTCAGGATTTTCCAGAGTAATTCAAACGTTCCTGAATTTCAGATACATGTTGTACTTCCATTCCATTCAATTTGGCCTTCGTGGTTGATTGTCGAACAAACGTTCAATTCTTAGTACTGAATACAATCTAGAGCTGAGTTGAATACTTCCAAAATTTATCATCGAGCCAAACTTGAGAAGATGAACACATGTTCCAGTAATATTTATGTCATTCAGGTATTGACATAGCTTTAGGGTTGATCTATTCACTTGAATTGTTTTCCATTACCTTTAAAGGTAGTCCAATACTTATCTTACTTGGATTCCTTAATTAATCCAAGACATTTACTTAATTTAGGCCATAAGGGTATTTTGGTAATTTGATGTTCAGTTTTATTCCATTCATTTCAGAGCTCGAGGATATTCAATCATTTCTGAGCTTGGGGATATTCTTGGGTCATTTCTATTACAGGGGTATTTTGGTCATTTTACAGATTCACGGTATTTCAACCTTTTTCCTCAATCCGGTCTTATTATTTAATTCCAATTTATTATCTATTCCAGTCCGTTCGAACAATTCTGATAGCAGAATACCCCGATAAATTACTCTTCAAGTATTTACTCATTATTTGAATATTTTCAGGTCAAGTGTCTTCTCAGACTTTACAAACGGAATATCATAAATTTTCCTGCACGAAGTCGGGATCTTAACAATTAAATCCGTACTTAATTGAGTTAAGTACGAATCCTCTAAGTATTTCTCATTCAGAGTCATCTCAGACTATTCTACCTCTTAAGGGCATTTCCGTAATTTCTTAACCAGATAAGTTCGATATTAGCTCTTAACGAAAATAATATAATTTAGAGATCCTATGATTAATTGCTTTCTTGAACACTCTCTGATCTTGAAATAATTCCCTTAACACACTTCTAGTATCTTGTATAAACCCTCTTGGGGTTAAAAACCGGTTATCCATAATTTCTAAGTATAAACTATCATTTCTTATGCACATTAATATATTTATCGTATCATTATGTCTTTTCAGATTTATTAGTCCACTTCCAGGGACAATTCTTATCATTTTCCAATATAAGGGTAATTTCCTATTTTTAGCATACCGAAGTATTCTCATAATTTCCCATCCAAGTACCTTTAACATTTAATCCTTTGATGATATAAAATATAATTTACAAATCCATGTCTGATTTCTTTATCACTATTCACAAAATTGTAATTTAATTCTAACAATCTTTCAATATCATATATTAGGCATTCGATCCGTATTCAGTTACAGAATTTCTACCACATTCATATCGAGTGAATAAATTATTCAACTCCACAAAAGTGACCAACATTATCTTATTCATGCATTTACCAATATCAACATGTTCCATTAAAGCATAAAGAGGTAGTAAAGTATTACCTCGATTTTCGTGCAATATCGATCGACCATAAAAAATCCATTCGAATGCCTTTGATCTTCAATTCAACTTCCAATAATTCCTCAGATACATATCAACATAAATTATATCAGAAACGGAGCTTAATTACGATAAACGGATCAAATCGGGTGATAAATCAGTGAAAGACGGCTTACGGGGTTCGAATTTGGCGAAACGGACTTCGGATTCGGATTCCGGATGTCGAAAGCATAAAATATGACTTTTCGGAAATTTGGAATTTTTGGTCAAAATCAAAGTCAACGGGTTTGACCGGCAATTTCGAGACCTTCGGGTTCGAATTTCGAAAAACAAACAGCGGAATCGGATTTGCAACGTCGAAAAATGTCAGAATAGGTATACTCGGTCGAAGTCAAAGGTCGTTTAATGCCCGATCAAAGCCGGTCAAAGTTTTGGTCAACAGTGGTCAACTCCGGTCAACGGTCAACGGGTCAACGGTTAACGGGTCAACGGGTCGGGTCGGGTCAACGG